CCGCCACTTAGGGCAGTCAAGAAGCACTTAGAAGCCGGAGGAAATCAGGACAAAATCGGGCGAGGGATGGGAAGGGATGGAGCACGGCCAGCCACTTCCGCAGAGGTGAACCGTTGCAAGGAGCCAGGAGGGAAATCAGAGTAGATTGGAGGAGCTGGAGGAGATAATCGGAGTAGATTAGAGGAGATAAACTTCTGTTTGCTGCTTAAGGTTTTTAAATAAAGCAGCGCCCGTCTCTAAAAGCTGGGTACGCGTGCTCAAAAGCTCCCGTTCCTGCACCTCCTCCTCTCTGGTGATTCACAGGCAGCAAGTCCAGATACCAGAAGACACCAGAAGCGAGTGGTACGATCACTCAAACTGGAAACCCAGCCCAGGGGTTCCTCCACTGAGCCCGTAAATTGAGCCTTTGAGCGTAGCGGTGGCAAAGATGCCGTGTGCTCTGGGCGGGGGGCACCCGGTGCCCGTCACCCTGCCTCTGGGCCCAGGAGTACATGGCAACCGCTGGGTCCTCACCGACTGCCACCTTCCAAACACCTTGTTCCTTGCAGCGTTTTTCTCTCTCGTTTCACTGGTGTGTCTTTGTTTTCCAGCAAATTTGTCCTCAGCTGTGCGTTTCTGCCCCAGCCCCACGGCGCCCGGGTGGGGTGTTGCCTCCGTACAGGATCCGGACACACGGAAAACTCAATTCTGAAATAACAACCTCTTGGCCTGGGCCTGGGGCCCTGCCGTCCTCCTTTCTCCAGCATCTGCCGAATCAAGTTTGTCTCATTATCAGCATTAATCCCCTCTTTTCCTGCTTGTACCTCTCCTGCAATCTTGCTGCATTCTCAGGGTGACACCATTTTCTTCCACCGAAGCATCCGTGGGGCTGCTGCAGTCCATCCCTTCTGCAGTCATCTTGGCTGTGACTTAGATTCCCTCCTTTCCTTACTCTTGCTCCTTTCTAACTTCCTTCTCCACTCAGATTGTTATTGCTTTCCCTTCCCATATACTCCTCCATTCTGTTCTCCTTGACTTGGTAAAGCTCCAGTTGGTAAACAGCCCAGTTTTCCATCTCTCTGCCTCCATCTTCACCTCTCAGCCCTAATGAATGATTTTTTTCCTTCCTTCTCCTAATGCTCTTTTCTTCAGTTCGGCTGTATGGGACTCATCAGATCCAATTAGTGTTCTAATTCAGCAATCTGGTGATTTGAGGGCTGAAGGATAAGCTGCTCTGGAGCCAGTCCCTCCTTCCAAGTTGACTTTCTAGGTCACTTGGAGCAGCCAGCTCCAACTGCAGTGGTCAGGGTTGCCCCAGTGCTACTGGAACATGGGAAAGCTGAATCTCTTAAATCAGTGGAGATATCACCCAACGCAATTAATGAAGCCTAGAGAGCTGCTTAATGATGTTTAGGTGGTGCCATCTGCCAACCGCTGTCCACCTTGCTCGCTTGACTCCTAATACTCCATTATTTTATAAAAAGTCCTTATCAAAATTAAGTGAAATCACTTCATAAACTGCTGGTGTATCTACTGCTCTAGAACTGGTTTAAGAGGTGTAAGGTTAGACCTTTGTCAAATGTCTCAGTCGCTGTCGACTTCATCCCTTCAAAAACCATTTCTCAAGGTTCAAAAGTCTTAATAGTCATAAAAAAAAAAAAAAAAAAAAAAAGTTATTTTTTCAAAATAAAGCAAGGATTTTTAAAAAAATTCCTATGCTTCTAAAATTCATGTCTTGGTGGACATGAGGCCAGAACTTTTTGAGACAAGAAGGAAAAGAAAAGGAAACAGAAATCTTGGTTTATTATTGCATAGTCACTCTGTGACGGCGTCTGATGGTGCGGCGTCGAGTACGGCAACACCGCAAACTCTGTCCTTCTGCTGAGATAACATTGTTGGTGCTGAAAACAAAACCAATAAATAGCAGGAATTCTCGGCACTTGAAGTAGAGGGAGGGAGGAAGGGCAGAGTGCTGCCGGAGGTGTAGTAGAGCCCTGAGTAAGGTTGCTGGTCGCCCGTTGGCAGCGCTCGGCCGCGGTTTCGTGTTGCGGGACATTAGCAGTTGCGGTGTAGTGTATCCCCCCCTCCCCATGCCCAGCTTGTCGGGATACTCTGTCAACTGGATCAAGGAAGCACTCTGGAGAAAGAAACCTCAAAAAATAGGCGGTTTGAAAGACCCGGGTTTGTCCCTTCATCTGGGTCGCAGCGCGGGAATATCCCAAACCAGTTACTGCCCCGAAACCAAATCAGCAAATCCGTGCGCCGAGCTCCCAGCTGCAAGGAGGAGCACTTGTCTTGCTTGAGTTGAGGCACCGCCAGCGTAGGTATCTTCATCTGAGCTGCGTCCCTGGACCTGATAGTCAGCAGGATTGAATGGGCACCGTTGGGGACGTTTCACGTGAGCACCCACAAATGGCTGCCTTGGGAGGAGCATAAAAACCCTGAAAAAGGCTCATTTCTCTGCCCTGGGCTGCTAAGGCCCATCTGGAGGTACCACGTTGGGCGTGATGATTCCTATCTGACTCCTCTGTTACATGTTTGTAAGCGTTGTCGATCCCAGATCTGTGACTCAGGCTGTAGGCAGGGTGATGATGATGATGATGATGACGATGACGATGACGATGATGATGATGATAATAATAATAATAATAATAATAATAATAATAATAATAATAATAATAATAATAGCAATAATAACAATAACAACAACAACACAACAACAACAACAACAACAACAACAACAACAACAACAATAATAATAATAATAATAATAATAATAATAATAATAATAATCCCATGGTTGTTCTCTGAGGGATGAATTTGCCTCAGTAGTCAGTGTTCTTTGGCCAGCCTCTAGGAATTAAACTCATTAAGCTCTCCTTGCTGATGGTCCTTTTGCTGACGGTGGTCTGCGGTTGAGGAGTACCTGCTCGTTGTTGGATGCTCCCCTTGACCTGTTTACCCTCATCCCACTTTGTGACCTGCGGGAAAGAGTTCACAGATTGGCCAAAACAATTTCAAAACTGTAAAAAACAAACCCTCATTAGTTTCCTAAATCTGGTCCTCGTGTTGGGAATTTGGGAAATTGGATTTAAATCTAGAGCAACATTTAATTTCATATTCACAGTGGGGTGGTTGCTGTAAGTGGAGGAGCGAGTTCATCTGCAACACCAAATTGAATCTGAAAGTAAAATGCTTTTATTACCACTAGCCTCCCAGCGGTGTCTCTCCCAGGCTCGGCTGCATCTTTTCTGTTTCAAAAGCTGCTGCTCTTCCACCTCACGGTCAAATCCTTCCATCAAACCTACGTGCAGAGGCTGGAAACCCAACAGGATTTGTCATCTACCCAGATGAGCTGTATCCAGGCTATAAATGCCCAAATCCAAGGGGCAGCACCAGCAAAGCCGGGCTTCAGACCACCCTGGGTTTACTCTTAAAGCCACCAGTTTTCAACTGCTTTACAGCTTCTGGAAGCATTCAGATTTTGCAAATACGTATCCCAGAACTTGGAAAAATGTAAAAAAAAAGAAAACATTCAGTCAGTTTTGAAGGGAAAGAAGATTAAGATAAACCCCTCATTCTTGACGTGGCTCTCTTGGGTTCAGCACTAGATTCGCGGTGGCCGAGGAGAGGAGGGAAGGGTTCGTGCTTGGGCTCCTGGTGAAAACCTCGTGGGGCTCTGGAAGCGCTCCACGGGTTTTGAAAACCAGCACTCTGCTTATGCAGGGCTTACCCAGCAGTTCTGCTTCTCAACATCTTCCTCTCAGCCTCCAAAAAGACGAGATGCACTGCGGATGCATGTATAATGTAGCAGCTTGCAAAATATGTTCTCCCAAGCTTTTCTTTTCTTTTCTTTTTTTCTTTTTTTTTTTTTTTTAAAAAAAAAAAAAGCCCCCAAATCACTATTTGCTGGCAGGTTTTTGGCTTTGGCTGATTTTTTTTTTTTTTTTTTTTAAATTTTGCTGCATATTTGGCTGAAAACTTTTTGGCCAGGCGTTGCTAAAGACTTCCATTTTCGGCCTAAAATTCCCGTTTTGGGGCTGTTGGGTTTTGTTTGCGCGTTTGGTTTTTTTTTTTTGGACGAAAAAGAGAAAATATTGTGAGGGAGAGTAATTTGAAGACAGAAGTCATTCTCTGCGAATAGGTTTGTTTAATTAATAACCCCAGTTCTGCTTGAAACAAATTTTGATGGAAATTCTCCGACTATCACTACTATCCAACCACGCTGAGGCTGACGAGGCAGCAACTCTCCTCCGTGCTGTTTATATTAACATACGCAATGACTTAGATCCTTGCAAAACTGTGGAGAGCTCTGCATTATTCAAGTGTTGGAGGAGGTAACAAAAAAAATGATCCACGGTTATAATAAACTGCCTGCTATCTCCTCTTTCTATTAATAGCTCCTTTATAGCCCAAATGTTTGCACTGGAGTGCGGTAGCGTAGTTTGCACAGACCCTGGGAGGAGGAATGAATTGTGTTGGACCAACCACCACCACTGATATTTGGCTTTTTCCTAGCCGGGCGAGGACTCTCAGCCCCAATGATTTTGTGCTGGGCGGGGAAAATACCAGTAAACTGGGTAAAAATGCAGCTAGGGGCATTTCCAGAAGGACTGAAGAGCGTTGCAGTGGTTTCTAGCTGGCCGTTTAGCTGGAGAGGGTCTAAACCCAATGGTTGCGCCCACCCCAACAGTTGGGTTCAGCTCTTCATTTAAACTCAACAGTTGGGTTCAACTCAATGGTTGGGTTCAACCCTTCATTTAAGCCCAGCGGTTGGGTTCAACCCCTCATTTAAGCCCAAGGGTTGGGTTCAACCCTTCGTTGAATAAAGGGTTGAACCCAACACAACTAAACCCTGCAGTGTGTGTGGGGGGATTTGTTCTCAAACACTTCTGCATGGGGAGAGACCCCAATCTGTCCCCCTGAAGGGCTCTGCTGCCGGCTGCAACTGTGGCATCTGCCCTGCTCCACGTAGCTAAATGTCTCTGCTTTTCTGTTTTGTTTTGTTTTTCTATTCAAAGGTGGGCCTTAATGTTCTGGTTCAGAGAGCAAACAAGTTTACTCCCGCCACTCGTCTCTTGATCCAGAGGTTTGTGCCATTCCCTGCTGTCGGTAAGAAATGCTTTTTCTCAATATTCAAAGCACTGGCTGTGAATATACTGGTGGCTGAAAACCACTGGGATGGACACCCAACTGCTGCCTTCCTGCTTCACACCGTTGCTGCCGTGTCCCCTTGTTGGTGCAGGCAGCGACAGGATGGTGCAGAGCAGCATTTTGGCAGGAAAATGATGCAAAGCTGCGGGGGGGGGGGGGAGGCAGCTCACAAGGCTTTATCAAGCTGCACTTTCCACTCTCAAGCAGTTTAAAAAATTGATCAGCGTTGACTGGTCCTTGACCGTCCAAATTGGACTGCGTTTCGTTTGCAAGATCTGGTTTGAATCGTGTCAAATCCAATCTTCAAGTAAGTGATAGCGTTGGGATTTTTTTACAATAAAACTGCAATGAAATGCTCCTGCTCTGAATATACAGACTTCTAAGAGCCGCTGATTAAAAAAAGACCAAAGTGTGTGAAGAATTAAGGCTGCTGCTGACTTGCTGGAGCACAAAATAAACCCTTCTGCATTTGATCAGCTAACTGCTTGGTGTTGGAGGGAAGGGACACGCTGGACGCAGCCTTTGCTGAAGCCCATGGTTACAATGTTCAGCAAGTGATAAGTTATTTTATCTGTGAAGAAATTGCCAGTGGCATTAGGGTAATTTTTTACGTAAGCTTGTTTATTTATAAAGATGGTGCAAAAGTTGTCCAAGCGTAGATGAAATGAGAAGCAAAGGGGTTTTGCTCACTGTTGCAGGTCCCTTTTCAACTGTGTTAATGCAAAACTTTAAGCTTTTTCCTTTGCCGTACAGGGGCCATGTCCTCAGAGCTTCGCTCAAGGATGCCAAGCCTCCTTCCCTCGCCGTTGCTCTCAGTTTCTCTGGTCTTTCTGCACCTTTTTTACAGAGAGATGATTGCTCTGACCCTCCAGCCTTCAGTTCCCAAGTTGCTGGGTTTGTTTTTTTTTTTTTCCCCTTTTCTGCCAGAAAAAACGCTGCGTGCCCTGTCTGCAGAGCAGGGGGTGATAGGGATTGCGGTCTGTAGGTTGCACTCAAATTGTGTTTCTGAGCACTTTGCTTGTACATAGGGGATCTGTGGACATTATTATTGTTTTCCTGGAATTTTCCTGGAATATGGTTTTAGAGGGTTTCAGTTTTCTTCTGATTTTTATAACCACGAGGGCACTAGAGGAGAGCACAAGACCCGGCAGGCAGCTCCGCGGCTGGGTCTGAGTCAGAGATGCACGTGGGAAGTCTTTGCCACCGGGTTGATCTATTTTCATACCAAAGTGTAAGGGGAAAGAGGCTACGCTTGTGTCGGCATCGATTGAGGACCCATAATTAATTTGTTTAGCCCGTAATTAATTCTCTAGTTCTTATTTTATTTGTGTACTGTCATGCTTCATTATGTGCCAGGACATCAGGAATCCTCCCACTAATTGCTGTTTTGTGGTTTTGAAAGCTGCGAGTTATTGGTTTGCAGACCTGGACAAACTGTTTAATTAAGATGCGTCTTCCCATTGCTTTTGAACCACCAACCCTCAGCAAAAGGGCAGAATTTCACTTTTTCTACGTGAAAAGCCAGACTCTGGTGTAAAGCTCTTGCTCCACTACCATTAAGCAGTTTTTCCCCCTGGCCCTTCCTTGCCTCCTTCTCCCACCGACCTCGGCCGAGCTGTGCTGGTTGATAGCAGCTGGAAAACTGGAGGAACACATCAAAACCTTATGGTCTCTCATCCCGAGGAGGTGGAGACTTGGGGAAGTGGCACTGGAGCAGGGTGCCGGCAGGTCAGGCAAAGGTAATTTGTAGTAGCCAGAAATCACAAGTTGTCCAAAAAACCCTCCCCGGGTAGAACAGCTGATGGAAAGGGCCAAGGCTCTGCATAGCCAGCAGCTGGCTTGATGTAAAGAGGGTTTGTGCTTGTTGTTGGCCACCCTTGTGTGTCATCTGGGTGGTGAAGTTGTCCTCCATGGAGGTTTTTGGTGCAGGAGAAGGGAAGGAGTGTGTCTGCACTGTGTTCTGGAGAGCCGTGATTCCTGAATTTGAGCAAGAAGGGGCTCGACCCTTCCTCGGAGACGTAGGTGGTGAAGGATATCAATGCCCAGGGTTATTGCAGGGAACCTAATTCACCTGCTTCTTCCCAAGCACTGGGTGTGGATAGCTGTCACGAAGGCAAGGGGTGTCGCTGGTGATGGTGTGCTTTATACTTGAGATGTACATGACTAAAAAAAAACACAGAAAACCCCAAAGGTTGCATCCCAAACCTGATCTGAAGGAAGTTAAAACTGGTAGAAGGATACCCGCTGGAGGGAAGGGAGGCGAAGGAGGATGAAGGATTTCTTCTCTCTGGGTTTTTCTTTTTGGGGGTGGGGTTAAGATTGTTAAATGTGTTTCGGTGGTGCACAAGGACGTGTTTAGTGCGTGGAGAGAGGACCCTGGTTTAGAAAGGATATATATGCAGGTATAGAAGTAGGGTGGTGGGGAATGGTTGCTTTTGTATCTGAACCCAGTTCCCAACATGTTGTTACATGTTTTCACAGAAGTGGTTTCCAGGCTATATTATCACAATTTCTTTCCAAATTCTGAAAATCAAATTGTCCATGCTTATATTTATTTATTTGCCATTCCCCCCTATATTTGAGACGTCCATAAAATCCAAGTCTACCTGTAATTAGCAACATTTTCTGCTCTCTCGGAAGGCAGAATGGGAGCAGCTGTGACCATTGCTTGTCTCAGGCAAACAAGCTGGAATAATCAGGTTTTGAATGTGGGACCTGGTCATTGAACCCCTAATTAGGGTCCAGAGACTTGGAGAAGCAGCTAGCTGCAGTGGGATCTTCGGGTCTGGACACCCCATCATGAGTCTGACAAGAGCCTTGTGCCGGTGCATCCTGGCTTGGCCAGAGCATCACTGCCCGTGTGTTTTCATATGTTCAGTCTTGACTGATAGCAAGAAGGACGGGGCATGTGAGTGTTAAAAAAATCAAAAAAGAGGGGGACTAAACTTGCTTTAAATGAAACGCCTGTTCTCTTTTTTATCTTGGATTAAGGAGCTGAAGGGTTGGTAACACAGATATTTTGATAGATGGGAAGAGTGGTCCAGTAGTTCGAATATTAAAGAGAGAGACAGAGTGTGCGTGTGTGTATGTTCCTCTTATTCTTGAGTGTAAGGAGCATTTGTCACCACAAATCATCCTTGATTGCAGAGAGCTGCATTCGTATAGGGCTCACCCACCCACCACCCTCAAAAAATTAGACATTTGTTATATGACATGAATTGAGATTAATTAGCGAATATTAACCCATCAAGCAGTACAGAAACACATTTTTGGAAGCAGTGGTACTTGCAGCAACAGTGAGTTTGTATTAGCTCTGGTTGGAAAGTTTGCAACAAAATGTGCTGGGGGGGGGGTGGGTTGCTGGAAAATGCCAGTTTGTCAAGACCAAAACTTTATTAGGAATTAGCAGCATTTCTTTTAAGAAGTGCCTGGGCCCCGGAGAGGAGCTGCACCTGGGAAGGATGTTTCTCAACCCCCACTCTTAACACATTATTTGAGGAGAGGAGTTTGGGGTCATCTCAAAAAGGTTACAGAAGCCACAGGCTGGGCAAGGGGGGGTTGTCAGAAAGGGTCCCAGACCTGCTCCCACCTCTGCTCTGAATGCAGGGCTGAGATCTGGGAAATGTCAGTTGGGAACCTGAGCCGTCCAAAGGACTGCTGGTCTGTGTCATAGTGTAAAAAAAATTATCATTAACGCAAAGAAATAAATCTCTAACTCTAAAAAATAAGCCCACAGAGCCATTATCCCCTAAAACATGTGAAATAAGGGCACAGGATCAGCAGAACCCTCACTAATGGGATACGTGTCCATGCAAGCAACCCAACCTTGTCTTATTTGATCAAAAAAAAAAAAAAAAAAATTCTGCCCTCTTAAGAGCTCAGATCTAAGCTGTCCTTCATAGCTCAGTGAAACCCCTCTCAGAGTATTTCCATCATACCTGCTAAAATCCATTATTTAAGAAGAGTTTGTCTGCTGGCTCAGTTCAGCAGTGCCTGGTTGGCCCAGACCAACTGGCAGCCCAGCACAAGGACCGGTTTTGACTTGGTAGGTCGAAATGTTGGGCGAAGGATCGCTGTGGAGGGTGGGAGAGCGTGCGAACACCAACCTCTGGAAACACTGGTATTTCTTTGCATCACTACATTTCTGATTGTGGCAGCCGATCCTTTTGCAAGCAAAAGAAAATGATCTTGGTTATTATTCTCCTCTTAAGAATCACATCGTTGTCTTGATATCAGAGTGGCTCCTTGACTTGCAGAAACTTCTTGGCAGATTGATGCAAGCAAAGCTGAAGGGCTGTCACGGCGAACAGAAGCCTGCCATTTGGTATTGACCGGGGCTGCGTTGCTAATCATCATGCTTTTCTCATCCTCAGCTAGTGCCAATATCTGCAATGTTGTCCTGATGAGGCACACGGAGCTGGAAGAAGGAATTGATGTTTTGGACAATAACGGAAACATTGTCGGGTCTTCCAGAATTGCTGCAAAACACGTATGTACCTGTGATGTTCCTGGCCAGCGCTCGGGTGGGCTTGTACACAGCTGCCCCGTCAGGCTCAACAAATCCCACAGCCCTAGGAATCGATGGCTTGAGAGAGCTAGAGATAGATGAGCTTTACCCATCGGGCAGGAAGAACGAAGCGGCAAACCTTAATGCCTGTGTTGTGGCCACCCGCGCAGTTGTGTCGCCACAAAAGCGGCGCGTGCCGCGCAGGGAGGTGCGGTGGCTGACCCCGGTGATTTGGGAGGGCGCAGGTTGACATCAGGAGGATCCTGTATTACCCCGGTGCTTTCACAGCCTTAGGATTTCTTTGTGGAAACTTGTAAGCGGTTCATGTTGAATAGAAGCGAAGAATAACTCACACCTTTTTCTGAATGAGGAAGACTTCATTTTCAAGCTGAGCAGCTTTTTAACCCTTACCATGTCAAAACTGCATTAACAGTTGCCAACCATTTGTGAGGGCGGCCAGATGATTTTATCCTTGTCCTAACACCTGGTTTGTTTTCCCCTGTAACCTTCTACTCTCTGCCATCTGCCTCCAATTATTCCCTTTTCTTCCCTTCTTACATAGTTTTGTCTTCTGAGCATCATCTGATTGTCTGAGGCATGTTGTTTCCAAGTGGGCTTTAATCTGAAATGTAAAGCATGTACCGAAGCACACGCCCAGGCAGAGGAGTTAATAATATAATGCTTGGCATTTCTCTCGCTCCTTCTGTCCAAGGCTCTTAAGGCACTTCATAGACAGCAATTAATGTACAGATTTACAGTCTTCGGCAAGAAATGGGAGATCTCTAATATCTCTCCATATTGTTGTATAACAGGGAGATTAAAACAATCTGTTGAAGGGCTTGGAGATACTTATTTGAGCCAGTTTTCCTCACTTATATTAACTGGCTTCAGGACCCAGCTTCCCCTCTCCATCCTAATGGTCGAGGAGAAGACAGACAGCGTAGAAAATAAATATTAAAAGTGAAGGAATTGTAAGTGTGATTTACATGGATTTTAAGCATCAGATTTGGGACATCTGAGAACTTCTGCTCAGCTGCCGCCTAATCCCAGTCCTTCCTCCTGAACAGCTTAGCACTGGGTTTATTTGTGTAAAATTTGTCAGATCCTTAGGGTCACACATCTGTGCCTCTCTGAGACCTCCTCCCGTTTGGAACGAGTGAGTGCTCTCAAGCCTGGCTGTATGCATCAGTTTCAGCATTTCCATCCAAAATCCATAGTATCCTCCTCTACTGCCGTCTGCCAGAGCCCTGTGCGTGGTCGCAGTGCTTGGGGCATCCCAGGTGGGTGCTGGCAGAGGTGGTTGGAAGAGGCACATGAAGACACGGTGGTGGTTATACACCTTGCTGGAGTGCCCGTGATCTTCTCTAGGTCTCACCTCAGGGTAATTTATATGTCTCCTGCTCTTTCGTTTGCTGCTTCCTGATGAATCTTGCCAGGGAGGAAGCACCAGTCGAGGGACAACCGTAGCTCCTCGGTCGGGCATCTTCCTGGGAGAGCAGAGCCCTGGGTGTTACGATGCTTCGCAATAAACCACCAGTGATTAAAAGACAGAAAGAAGTCTCGGAGCAGGCAAGAAGGTGCTCTGTTCCCCCAGCACATAACTGAAATTGAAACTCAGTTGAGGGTGGAAGGGTTGAAGCTGCTGCTAAGCCCATACTGAGATATTTCACCTTACAACATCTTCCAGGCAGCTGTTTTGCCTCTCTTTCTTCCTCCAGGCAGCGCCGGCATGTTTGCGTAGGCATACAACAAGATGTCAGAGCACTTTTGGTCACATAAAGTGAAATCAGGGAAGCTATTAGGTGTTTCTGTTTATTCCACTGGATTTGTGACCAAGCGTGGGCTCCGGTCCATTGTTTGTAGCAAGGGAGCGAAAATAGGTTGTATACAAATAGCTGATAGCAAAGTTGAAAGGGTGTGTTGATACGTTCATTCACATATGCAACAGAAGAAAGGCCAGCCAAACCATTTCTGTGCCCTCATGTTGATTGCTAAGCGAAGGTACATCCTGAGATTTGTTTTAAATGTCTTGGGTTTGTTTGTTTGTTTTTCCTTTTCAGGCACTGCTAGAAACAGCCCTGACTAGAGTGGTCCTGCCAATGCCTATACTGGTTCTACCTCCAATTATTATGTCCATACTGGAAAAGTAAGTGTTGGGTGATACAAAGGAGGGGCTTTTCAAGGGGAAGGGAGAAAAGATCCTCAGTAGGTGTTATTCATTGATATTTCTTAGCACTGGTCCATCAAAGAGATTTTTTACTTATTAAAATTTGAATGTTCCATCATTTTTGACCATTGTTGTGGGCTGTTAAAGTGTTATGTTGATGTAGACTTTTTAAATAGTCATTCTGAGACCCCAGCAGTTTGAATAACCCTATTCTATCGGGTCAGCATGAGCCAAAACTCCCTGAATTCAGTGGAAAAGTGTCTGTAAGTTATCAGTCCTCCACTTAGCAAACATTAGAGCTGCCACACGGGGTCAAACTAAAGGTCTTGGCTGGTGTTCAGCCAGTGATAGGGCGTGCAGGGACTTGCTGACCACACGCTGCATCCAGACCACCTTGGCCACTGTTGGATTTGCTTATGCCCTGTTTGAACTCGCTCGTACTTTCTTTCAATACCGTTCCGTGGCTTGGACTTCCCCAGAAGAATATATATGCTTCACATATTCTGCAGAATATTCCTTTCCATCACTGTTTAAGCCAGAATCTCTCCTGGCAGATGTCTCCGTGGAGCATCAGTGCTAGGAGAGTTGGCAGAAAAGGGCAGGGTTATTATTTCATGTCTAATTATCTCCTATCAGAGTTCTTAATAGCAAAAAAACCCAAACTGCCCTTTCTATCGGCCATTCTCCCACCTTGCTTTCCAACACCTCCACTTTTTCTTCTGCCCAGAGGTGCTGGGAGCCTGTTTGGAGCTGTTGGGTGCCTCCTTAGGACACCCATCAGCGGCTCATTCGGTGTGAATGATCCGTGGGGTGGAGATCACCTTGCCAACCCCTGGAGCATGATTAGTGCATTGAAAGATGGGGGTGCTAAAGGGCTTGCTGCCTTTGTCCAGACAGCCAAGCTGGAAGCACTCTTTAAACAAATCTGTTGATAATGGCTGCTCTAAAGCACTCCGCTGACAAAGTAAATAGCAATTAGTACAATTAGGGATTGACCCATAACTTTGGTTAGCCTTCTTTACCCTTGTAGAAACACCCCTGGGCAATTTTCTCTCCTTGACGGAAGGGTTGCGCTGCTTCTGTAAATTTGGAGACGGATTTTTAACATCTAAATTTAAAATTATAAATATAGTCTAGGTGCTACCCTTCTAGCACCTAGAGGCTCTCACCAAGATCACTTCTTTCCATGGCCTGGGTGCGTGGAGAAACAGGGCAACAAAGTCTGTTTTGGGAACTCTAAAGTAAGTTCTTTCATCCCTTTTTGTCCAAAATACACCGTTTTCCTCCCTTTTTCAAAGGGACTGTGGTGGTTCCCTGTGGCAGGGCAGAGTCTTGGTAACACTTACTGCAAGCCGCTGTTTGGTGGCGGCTGCTGGAGACACACAAGGACAAGGGGTAGATTCCAGTCCCCCTAATTTTGTGCAAAGCGTTTGATTTTCACTCACATTCCTCCTTGACAAAACCTCTGCAGCCTCTTTCCTCCCCCAAGACCCTGTGTCACCCACACGGCCCTCCAGCCCGTGATCCGCTTGCAGGAGCGGGGCTCGGGAGCGACCACGCCTTACACTGGAGCACCTTCCTCAAAGTCATGTGCAAGAAGAACAGGGATTGTCACGTTATCTTTGTGCCCCAGCGTCTTGGCAGCTTCCTTGCTTCACACTCAGACGCGTGATTCTAGCCTTTATAATCCCATCAAAGCTGCTTTGCTGTTGTCAGTTGAGAGGACTTTCTGTTTTCATCTGTCCACATGCCAGACGCTTCAGAAATGCCACCGGTTTGTGATGTTCTTACTACAGAGCTCTTTTCTTTTCGCCTTTCTGTCACACTGAGGCTTTGCGTGTGTTACCTCTGGCTTGACACGGGCACTGGTTCCAGTCTAACCCTGCCTCGGTGGTCAGCTCATCCAAAAAGGATCACCCAGAAGACAAACGGTTTTATTGCTGTAATTCAGAGGACCTTTGCTCTTCTGGTTATCGACATGAACAGACAAAAATCTTGATGTGCAAAAATTCACGGTTCACAGCAATTTGATGTATAGGTGATAGTCACCAATGGGAAACACCGAGGATCATCATGGGTCTTGCTAAGCATCCACAGGCTTAAATAAAACTAGTAGCAAAATTTGCTTCGTGTTTGGGGGCATCATAATTTGTATTGACATGAGTTTTACTAAAGGCACCCGTGCTCTGCACAGAACATAGGAACTAATTTTATCTGTCAAGCAAATGTGGATAGACGAGAGTTTGTCTTCAAAAAGTCATCATTTTAACTAATAGGAAGACTTAATTCACATTTGTGAGAATACTTTCCTTCCCACCACCCCCAAATGAAACTCTGCAGATATAAAAATATCTGGGCACTGCTTTTGCCTGCCTTAATTCTCCTTAGAGCTTTGTGCCTGTACTGTTTCATTTTCCATCAAATATCTTTGGATTCCTGGAAGCCTGTGAGTGAGAAACAGCAGGGATAGGGAGTGGGGTGCGGTTTGGCCACTCAGCTAGAGGTGGTGGCATCGCTGTAGGACATGGAAATATCCTCCTGACATGGAGAGCATCCCTTTCCGTAGCCGAGGGATTCACAGTCCAGGTGTCGACTCACAGATTTTTAAAGTGGTTACTGAAGGACACAGCCAGAGGTGAAACCTCATTTCGAAAAAAAAAAAACTTGGAGCATTTGGCGAAAAGTTTAACTTTTTAAATTTAGTAGAATTCTAGTTAGACTAGGGCGTTTTTAAGGGGAGTCATATCAAGGCATGCATTATCAATGTATTTATAGAAATCCTTACAGTGTCTATAAATGAGAAAGACGAGAGTGACGGCTTATTATTTGGAGGCTGGAGATCTGGAATCAGAAGTCGCAATCTGGATCCTCTACTAAATCATTTGCATTTGGGGCTGTGGCGAAGGAGGAGAGCGATTCTCCTGCCTTGCGTTTGAGTCCGGGTGGAAGTGGGTGACAGTGCTGCAGTTGGGTGGGAGTTGCACCGCCCCAGGAGCAAGCTACGTGCTCCCGGCAGTGGTTTTCAGATTCATGGAAGGCTCGCTCCCTCGTTTGCATCTCGGTGTTCAAAAAGTTTATTTTAAGTGGCCAGTTCCTGGTCGTCGTCTTTCCACTTGGATCCAGGTCTTTCCTCTCTCTCAGCCATCTCTCCATCTGCATGTTTTAACTCCCCCAGCTGCCTCTCTCGTCTCTTGTGCCATTTTTTTCAGCTCTCTTGGCTTCTCTCGTCTCTTTGCCTGCTGTGTATTTTAACTCCCAGGGCCGCCTTCTCTGCTCTCCAAGTAATTCAATGTTACCTCCCACTGCTGAGCTCCGCAGCGCGCCATTCTTTCCCCATGTTTCATGCATTTCCTGCTGCTTGGACGCTCTGTTGAAGCAGCTAACATATAGAATCAATGTTTATTTTGAGACTACATATGCCATGCGGGGAACACGGTGTCAGTTATTTTGTGCAGATGTATTCTCATTTGAGTTTTATAAATAATATCTGTGTTGGCAACTTTAATACGGAAAAATATTGGTTTTGCATTGTCTATGAGACGAAGACGACTCATCTCTGGGATGTAGTTGACTTTGGAGCAGACAACGGAAACTTCGTTAGTACCCCAGGTCAGGGATGTGTGGGGACAGCTACATCCACTGCATTAAGCTGGACTTCTAGTCCCTTCATTCCCTTGTACTGTGATGCTTCTGTGAATCCTTTTGCCTGGTAGCTATGATGAAATTGGGGAAATGGTGCAGGTTTCTCCCAGCCATCACCTAAGACTTCTCCAGTAGTCTTTGTCCAGCTTCCGACTCCTCGCAGAGTTGAAGCCCATCACGCAGCCGGTCTATGTGTTGACCACCCAGGTCTCTTTGTAAGTGCAACCTCAGGTTCCTTGAGCTGAGCTCAGTGGTGGAAGAGCCCACATCCAGTGGTGCTTGGTTCGTGTGGTCTGGACACGCGGCAGGCAAGCTCAGTCCACCAGCAATGTCTGCTGTGGACGCTTTGAGCTGATAGCTGGCAGTGGAGATTGAAGAATTGAAGCTTTTCTTATCTCCTTATCCTAAAGCCTCTTCTCTGCCTCACAGTACAAGCAACCTCAGGGGGTCTGAAGCACAGCAGAAGGTCTGAGGATGGGTTCCAAGCGCTCATGTATGTTAGGCTGGACAAGAGGAGGCCCTAAAGTGTTTGTAGAGGAGAGATAAAGCTGGAACTGTTGGCAGTGGGCAAGAGCTGAGAGAGAAGTGGGGAGCACAATAGTTGTGTCCGTAAAAGAGGAACGTTTCTACTTCATCTCCACATCATCCTGATCTTGTGGCAAAGCTGCCACTGCACGCCAGCATCCTCAAGCAGCAGTTGTCAAGGGCTGTTTTCCTGTAAAGCTCATAAAATTAGGACGCTCCCAGGCTGGAACAGCATTACAGAGCTGCTCTGGCTTAGCTAAGTCAGACTAACCAGGAAAAATAGATTCTCTCGATGGGTAGCCAGTGCTGAAAATTGTGTTTTCTTCAACTTAAAGCATGTTTTTCACGGCAGAAATGTGTGTGAGGTAGGAGGCACTCCTGGACCTTGTGTTCGTGGCCTTTTGCTGGAGATATTCTCCTTTTGACAGGGTGTGGAGAACGTTTCCTACAGGTGCTCGTCCACCTCTGAAGTGCAAAGGCTCTCCGTCCAGCTCCACCCTCGCTGAAGTTTGTTTAAGCTAAACAGCTGCCAGCAGTGACACTTTAAACTGCGGTGGCTGTTTCCAGAGTAAACATTGAAACTGCTCCTTTAATTATGTCAATCAAGCACAAAAAAATCCCCCAGCCTCGCTCGCTTTGCATCTGCTGTGTCCTCTGGAAGGGGCACTGGGGCTGCAGCCAAGAGCGGGGGATGCTCCTTGGTGAGGACAGCGGTGGCCCGGCTGGACAGGACAGCAGACAGAGCTACTGGTCACTTAGAAGAGCTCAGGATTCCCAAAACGAGTGAGAAAAGCTCAGAAACACCCTCTGGAGATATCAGAGAGACCTGACGGGCTGTCTGAGGCAGAGACGTGGTTACGGTGCTGGCTCTGGGAGGTTCTCGGGAGAGCTGGGATCTGGGGGAGGACAACCACCCCAAAGGTGGTTTGCACCTCAGGGGCGTTTAAACCCCGGGCTCTGAGGAGCCTGGGATGCCTCGGGATACCCGGAGCTTCAGCCTCCAGCGCTTTTCTTACCCCGCCGGCATCCTCGGCGTCTTGCGATGTATGTATTAGCTTTGAACCTGTTTACACCAAACACTACAGAAACCCCACAGAATCTGTCAGCTGGGAGACTTTGGTTAACTCCTGTCATATTTAGCTTAGCATCTGACACCTCCTTCTAGACAAATACAGCTCTGGTTCACTGAACCTGATAACTCCTTTTTAGTACAGCAACTGACTTCCATATGGAATAAATTACAGTACCTCTTGAAAAACGCCAGAGGCAGCTGCCAAATTATGCAAAATTTAAACCACTAATGAACAATGTGATGAAAGTTGAATGAAGGTGTATTTACAAGATCTACAACACACTGTCTCTGCGGAGCAGATGTACTGTCTGTACAAGTATGCGTGTGTCTGTGTATATACCTACGTACATGCACGCTCATGCATATTGAAATGGTATCCGTAAGGACTAGCTGGTTTAGGTATAGCTGGTAACAGCAAGCACTACCTAGGAGCAGTAAGCAAGAAGCTCCCCAGCACGTTACTGGCTTTTTCGTATCTGCTAGGCAAATTTTCTGAAGGCAAATTGCAGAAAGAATAGGCATTTAAGGGGTTTTGAAGGGGGGTAAAGAAACAAATCTTAAAAAGAAGAAAGAGAGGAGGAGGGAAGTATTGCAAAAATACATGTTCTTTGCCATCCAAAGGTTGATGTATAAACATGGATCACTTATACTAGCAAGGCAGACCACTGGTGCCAAAAAATTGGCTTCTAAAATTTGGAACAATAAAACATACATATTATTGCCTTCCTGCAGACTTCCAAACTGAGACCTTCTCTCGGTGCAAACTCTTCAATCCTCTGTTGTCTAACCTGAGCGCCAAGGCTGAGTTCCCCAGAGCCTGGCCAGTCCTGTCCTGGGTTCATGGTGACAGTCTGTAAATCGTCTGTTCTCGTATGAAAATAGCTTCGAGTTCTTCTGCAGAATCACTGGCAGGGCAAGATGGTATTTGCTTTTATAAATATATCAGTCTGCTTCAGAGGACGCCCGTGGCCAGGCTGGGCTGTCAGGGGGATCTAAAGGTCCAGGCCTCCACTTTTCCGATCAAACCCCTTGGCAGAGCCCACAGGACAGTATTGTAAACTAATTAACTCTTCAACAAATGGATATCTGCTATAATGCTCTGCAATTAAACCCTCTGGAATTGTCTAATCATTCACTTCCGATGGGGGCCTAATGGGTGAAAAGAGGGTTTTTGATTGCTTTTGACAGCTAACAAAATGCAGCATGCAATATTTAATATTCGTCTGAGATCTGTGTCGAGAGCAAAGATCCTAGGGACAGAAGAAAAGTGGACCTCTCAACTAATTATGAGTCATTTATTCTGAACCACACAAATTTTAGAATCTGAATCCCAATTAAGACATTACACTACATGTGTTAATTAGTCCCCTCTCCTTTTTAAAGCAAACCATAACTTCTTAATTAGAAGGTTAGCCATTGTAATTTGAACTGGCCTGAGTTTGAAGCGCTCCTGGAAATCACACCTGGGGGCTGTACCGGGGATCATTTTAAATTGGTTGAGTTTTTACTTGGGTGATTATAAGGTCCCCAACAGGGCAGTAATTAAAGAGGGTGCAGCTTCCAAATTAAGATGTCAGGGGTGGTATAAGCAGTGATGTCTTGGTTCTAAACTGTACTCCAGGGAGGCTTGAAGGATGCTGGTCAGATGATTTTCTCAGCGAGGGCTCTCATGGATCACGACAGCTTAAGCAGGAGAATAAATCAGTTCCAGGGGTTGCCCCTCTGCATCCCAGGGACTAGTTATCACAGCTAATTGATGGCAATTCTTGAATGTTGCATTTGTTAAAGAGCACGGGGCAAGGTAGCCTGCTTTCCTGACTGGGACAAAATCCTTGTGGACTTCTGCTGGAGCCTTTTAGGTTAGACTGTGCTCTGTGCAAAACAAAGTAGCTAAATATTGGAGAACAGAAGCTTGGCTTTCACAGCACAAATTGATAGGATCAACTCTGTCTCGATAGCTTATTAGTGAGGAGCTGAGATATTGGAGGAGTTAAGGCTCTGGATCTTGTTTTCCTTCCCCACTTCCCCCAATCCCTCTCAAGATGAAGACAGCTTTCAGCAAGCATTGCTAGCAAAGGGCGAAGAGTCGGAATGTTCAGACACACAGACAGCGTACAGCAGGGTAACAAGTTCCCACACATCAGCTGCTCCGTTATAATTCATCAGGTGCGTGTTTGTAGCCTGCAGTAAACGTGGAGTAGATGGGGGGTTGAGGTAATCTGTTGTGTTGCAGGGGCTGCACGCGGAGATGTGCCCGCAAAATCACTTGTGCGTGGCCTGACGTGGGAAGGGTTGCTTGGCTGGGTGTCGGGGGGCACCTTGCGCACGGTGCGCGTTGGATTGGAAACGGTTTTTAAAAACCCCGGTGATGGTGAACCCCAGTGATGTTCGGCGGTTAGTGTAATCTGGTTGTACCTTCCTCGACCAACGGAGAGCTCCTCTGTTACCACCCCAGTGGAAGGGCATTGACTAGCAGATCCTTGCCCACAGCTGATGGCAGGACTCTGTGAAGCATCGGCATCCTCGGGATCAGGATGGGCAGCGGAGAGATGCGCGTTGGGATTAAGGCCACAGCAGCAAATCCGCTGACATCGCTAATATACACTGAATAGTCAAACAAAACTCACTATCAAGTTGCCGGTTCGTGTGCCCAGTTGTTTCAGATTGGTAGAAAAATGTTAAATGACAGGTGTCATTTTGGTGTGAATAGTTCCAGATCAAGCCCCTCAAGAATTACATTTTTCCCCTTAACTTGTAAACTTGTTTCCCCCTTGATTTGTAGACTGGCTTCAGGTCCTGTATCCTGGAATATACTTAACATGACACCTTCTACCCGCTAAATGTTGTCCCTGTCATTCGGCGTTAACTGCATCAGAAGGGGCACTGAATGGGTCATTATCAGAACCTGACCTTGCAGGTATCCTAAAGTATTTGCTGTTAACAAGGCTTGAACTCATAAATATCCCCTGGGGACAGCAAGTGTCAAAACATCTGTATCACCCACTCTGCAGATGTTTGGTTTTTAACAAATTAAGGTAATGTCGAGTTTACTCCTTTGTTGCCCCATTAGCAAAGTCACATGCCTTTCTCAGTAGCACCGTGTGATAGGGCTGGCAGAGTTCACAATACCTCTGAAGAACCCGATTTCCTTCTGCTCACACGACATAATCTCCAAAGCTTTACTGCAGGTGACACCTGTGTGTGGCCAGGTCACCTCGTGTGCTGTTTACTCCCGTATGAGATGGTTTGAAATAGGGGAAGCGTGTGTGAAGTGGCCCTGCTTTAATTTAGGAGTAGTGAGCGCTTAGGTTGGCCTGGGCTGTGTAACCTCAGCAGATGCAAGAGCACAGTTTGCAGGTTTCGGGATCTTTTGTGGGTGAACTTGTTGATGACCTACTAAGAAGGCACCTACCCCGGTTAGGGAGAGGGAGACCAGTGGGTCTGGGTGAACACCGGTGTCAGTTTGGATGATGACGTGCACTCGTCTGGTCTATGAAATGCTCTAACAAAGCCTTTCCTTTCCAGAACATCCCTCCTGAGGTCCCGTCCCCGGATGATTCTCCCAGTCCAAAGCCTTGTGTGCCTCGCTGCCTTTGGCCTGGCCCTCCCCTTGGCCATCAGTCTCTTCCCGCAGATGTCCGAGGTCAGTACCTGTCTGGTCACTGCAGTGGGATATCTCAGAGGGGCTTACCAATGTCACTGCTTGTTTGGCCTTCCTGAATAACGGTCTCATTCCTATGGGGCCTCCTCTGTTTTCGGATGAAGTCAGTTGCCATCTTCTTCACTTTAACAAGGGCAGAGTCACTGGGCGGGAGATGGTTGTGTTGGTCCCTCCTGCTAACACGTAGCACAGGTTGATATCTCATGGCTTTTCCACCCTTCTGACATCGTTTGGATCATGTGGTGGGCTGCACCTTCCCAAGGAGCAGAGGAAGAACTGAGCAGAGGGGAGCTTTTGCTCCGCGCAGCAAACGCAGGTTTCGCAGACGAGGGATGGTCACGTGTGATCCTCCTCCCTTCCATCGCCTCCGTCGTTCTCCCACCGCGGTGGAGGACGTTCGGTAATCCAAACACCAAGGATCCAGGGGGGGGCAACCAGATTGGAAGAAGGCAGTTTTTTTTAAATGCATGAAGAAGGTGTTCTGCTTGCTTGATCACCAGTCAGAGGAGTGTCTCAACTAGCACTGGGGGTACCTGGTCCCTCGTTAGTGATACCCTGGTCAGGTCTGGTCAGATCACAAGTCAAGGGATGTTGCTGCTTCTGCTCTGAGACTCCAGCTGGGTTCGTCCTGTCCTGTCTGGGGCCTTGAGCTTAGTCAGAGCTGGGCTGCACCAGGGAGAACATGGTTCAGCTCACTCTCTCCCGTGACAGTGGTGTTTCCTTGGTGAAACACAGTGAAAACAAGTCTTTGCCCATTAAGCAAAGAGCCTGAGGTATACGTTTGATGTGGATGTACTTTCCCAGAGCTTCTTTGAAGGTTTCTGCCTTTTCATCTTCTAGCCTGGCTCTGGGAAGACACAGCCTGGGGGTGAACAGAGGAAAACTAGCCAAGGAAACAGGCAGAATGACTAATGAAATCACTCGTAGCAAAGTTAGTTGAATGAATTGCTAAGCGGTATTTATTTGTAAGTCGTTAATTTTGACCATTTGATGTTCAGGGCTTATGGATTTGCAGATTGTAATTTTGTACATTTACAGGGAAGGTCACTATTTTCAAGTGATAAAACCTCTGTCAAACAGAGGAAAAGACTTTGCTGCAGTTCTTTTTGTGTCAGCTAGAACAGTTGATCAGAAATTGGTATCACAGTCTCCACTGGTTAATTCATTTTTTTTTTTTTTTTGGTCTGGATGGGTTTATCCACAACTTCTAGCCAGGGAATCTTGTTGTACACTTGTCTGCTAGACTGAAAAACGTGTTACAATTTTGCGTTGTCCTTCTAGCTGTTTACAGGCTGAGATAAAACTGTCCCTTAATCTTCTCTTTAAGAAACTGAATATAGCTCAATCTTGGAGTCTCTTGCTAAAAGACGTGTTTTCTGAAGCTTTAATGATTCATATGGCTCTTCCTTAAACTTTTTCTAATTAGTCAACATCCTTTTTGGAGCACTTCCATAAGAACCAGACACAGTATTCCAGTAAGAAGTTGCACAAGTACCAGTTGCAGGAGCAATGTGATTTGCCTGCTTCTACTTGAAGCCGTACATCCACAGAGCGTGTTAATCATTTTGGCACGAGCTCAACCTTAGCTCCCTGTCCATCAGGGGTTTTTTTGCTGCAATCCCAAGTTCTGCTCAGAGGTTTTGGTTATGGGAGACTGAGGAGTATTTCCAGGTCTCTCACCCATTCGAGGTACATGCCCAGAGTATGTCCTAAATTCCTGTTGGAAGGAGACTTGGACATAGAGCATCCTTTCTGCTCCTGTTGCCAGGGAGAGGAGCTTCACCCACCAGAAGGTAGCCACGGCCTTTCCTGGGAGTTCTCCTTTCAAGATAAATCAGGGAAGCAAGACCACAGGAGGTACCACCGACCTCATTTACCCTGAAGGTGACATTGCCACCGCTCCCCCATAGTGGTGCCCCGTGCCATAGGTCTTTGTGCCTGGAGGCAGTTTTATGCTTGATGCACATTGACTTCTTTTCCACAGATCACCACGTGATCCAGAGGTCTCTGTCTCAGTGACCTGGGCTCTTAATTACTTGCCACTTTCCCAGACTTTGTGTCATCTCAAGCCTTAAGTGGCAGTCACTGTGTATTTTCTCCCTTCTTGCTGATGACACACATGTTTAACAGCCTTGGCCAAACCAAACCATTCTTTCAACATAGACAGGAAACTCAGCCTATAATTCAGTTTTGAAATTTAGCATTTTGTACCTTTCCAGTATTTTCTGTAGGCATTGCTTAGCATGGGCTTCTCTGAAATAGTAAGTGACTACTAAGGTCAGTGGAAACTAAAGTTCTGGTACCGGAATCTAAGTCATTCAGAGTTAAACACTTTGAGCTCTACAGAAAGAATTATTTATTGCCTTAGTTTCTTTATCTAAGAATGAAGCTCACAAGGTCTTTTTGCCTTTTGTATTTTAGCTTTATGGGTGACAGATAATGTATAACATGTAGTATCTGATATTGCAGCGTAAAAAAATGTGCTGATGCTAACAGCCGAAGGAATTCTAGGCCACAAGGAAAATTAAGGTCTGGCTTCCTTCAAAGGATATTCAAATTGCAGGCATCAGGCAATACCGAAACCATACAGCATCACTTGAAAATGACCTTCTAAAAGCAGATGAAATGTTATCTGCAATATAAACATGAATCAGCGCTGATTAGTAGATCAAACAGAATGACGTGCTCTCTGCCCACGCTTCATGTCAGTGAGGAGAAACGATTACAGCTGGTGGTATAGCTCATTACCTACTGGGATCTCAGCACTGCTCCACTGGAGTTAGCTCCACGCGCGCAGCTGGACCTCGCAGCTGTTGGCGCCAAGGCATCAGATTCTCCATAGCAGCCTGGTCCGATCAGTCTTCGTTACGCCTGCGTTCATTATAAATGTGTGTGAGTGTGCGTGTAAAGCGTGTTCCTCCCATTCTGCAGGTCCTCGCTGGTGGTGACTGCGGGGATGCTCAAGTGAGCAGAGCAAGTGGTTTGTCGGAAACAGTCTCTCCAGAGCCCATTTCTTCACAGTCTTGGATAGGAAATCTGAGTTTCCTTGCAAAGAGCATTTCTCAGAACGTGCGACTCCTTGGTCATTCATCACCGGTCCGTGAACTTGTCAGACAACTAAGTTCATAGACTTCGCGTGTTTGAACATTGACCTCTCTCTGTATGCAGATGCATCTGCATACATGTATGCATGCGTGTATTTGCTTTTTCCCATAACTGCAGTAGGTGAAGCAGCTCTGAACATGACACGACTGAGATGATGCTGTTGTTAACGGGCACTGCCCAGGGAGTAAATTATTAACAACAAGATGTAATAGGTGTGTTCTGTTCCAAAAATATGATTATGGTCTGAGCAGCAACCCTTGCAGGAATTGTAAATGAGCCAAATTCTGCCCTTAATCACACACTCACAGTTCTTTTTCTTCAGTCAGAGAGCAAACGCAGAAGCGGATGCGTTATTAAGCACTTGTTTTAGCATGGGAGCTTGACTGGCTGCCTTTGATCCACTCTTCTAAAGGGGCTCAAACTTACAATTAGTTTTCAAGCAGGATGGAGCCTTGCAGTAGGTTTATTAAGTGTGCTAGATAAATGCAGCCAACTTATCACATCAACTGTAGCTGCTTCAGAGTTACACCTGTTTTAAAATAACATAAGAGAAATCAGAATTCAGCTCCGGCTGCATACAGAAACACCCATATCAGGTAGGTGAAAATTCTGGAGCTGAACAACTTTCATGTACTGGGAAGGATAATGCATCCAGATTGTCTCTTGGGTCGGTATTTAGTCTAGCTAAGACCGTATACCTTCCTTGATTTTGTACAGATGGGATCCGCTTTGATGTCTGCAGCAGTGCTCCAGAATTACAGCTTGTTTCTAGCTGTTATGGTTTTGAAGATCACCTTATAAAAATAAAGCCCTAGTGTCAGCTGTGAAGACACGGGTCCTTGCGACTAAGCACGCTTAAGATGCTGAGAAATACACTTTTCATCCCAATGTACTGTTAACTCAAGTACCTAAATGCATCAATATGCATTAAGTAATTCACTGCTGTTAAGTTTAGGAGAAACATCTAGTTAATGCATTTAGCCCACAACCTCCAACTGCCTCCCATGCCCCCCGGGGAATCTCTTTTCTAACCGCCTATCCTGCAGCATCCCCACTGACAACTCCTACTCAGCTATGCACTGCCAATAGAAACAGCTGTGACAGTTCCAAACTGAAAATGGGACTTGTGCAAATGAAATTCAGTGTAGCAGCAAAAGAAATAACCATGGGGTTGCTCCGCTGATTTTCCACCCTTTGGGCCCTGCTCATCCGGATCATTCATTTTTTCAGCATCCAGGAGGATGCTGTTGGGCTTCCAGGGTGCTGCAAACCCACCGAAACTTGTCTCGGCCCGTGCCCAGTGTGCTGGATCGGGCTGATAAAGAAGGATAAACCCAGGTGAGAGGTGGAGCTGAAGCAAGAGCTGATGGCAGAGAAACCCCTCCACGAGCCACGATACACATGCCCTCAACCATGGGTTAAGTTTAAAGGGCCTTGGTTGCTGGTTAGGGCAAAACAAGCCATCTTCCGGAATTAGGCTGATTTCAGCTGCAAGCCTTTTCTTAAAAATAATCTTCCTTTTGGTTCTCCAGGACAAGGGGAATAAACAGCCTAAAATCCAAGGCTGAGCTATTGTTTTCCAATCTGTTTTAGCCTTCATCTTGTTGGCAGGCTGCTTTAGAAAAGCAAAAGGTTAATGAGCCAATGTGCAGTGGGATTATTGCAGTAAAGATGACAGTGAACCAGTAATTACTAATTAGATGCAGTTTAACAGGAGGAACAAGTGAAATCTCCTCTTCACCAACTGTCAATAATTAGCAGATTTGGTGAGGTTGAAATGTGTCCACAGTTAAAAGGCTGATTTTTTAATGAAATGGCACTTGACAAAAGAGCTGTATGGAGGTCACAGCCATAGCCCTCGAGACGCTTCCCTATAC